CACACTGAGACAATGGGGATGTTCTATTGGGAACTCACCAAGGCCAGCTGGCCCGGGTCTCAAAAAGCATGGGATAAAACCGGACTCGCAGAACATAGCGGACAATGAGGACTACTGAGAACTCAAGAACAATGGCAATGGGTTTTTGATCCTACTGCACGTACTGGCTTTGTGGGAGCCTAGGCAGTTTGGATGCTCACCTTACTAGACCTGGATGGAGGTGGGTGGTCTTTGGACTTCCCACAGGGCAGGGAACCCTGATTGCTCTTTGGGCTGACTAGGGAGGGGGACTTGACCTGGGGAGGGGGAGGGAAATGGGAGGCGGTGGCGGGGAGGAGGCAGAAATCTCTAATAAATAATTAATAAAAAAATTAAAATTAAAAAAAAAAAAAAGAAAGAGTGTGTCTAACCTCACAGGCAGCAGCCTCGTCATATATGTCCTGGAGTCAGGAGGCTATGCTGATGGGACAAAGAAATGCTAACTGCTCAATGTGATGAAGCAGTATCACAGTGATCTCATGTTACATATTAAAGTACACAGGTGTGGGCCTGGGTTCAGTTCCCAGCACACACACGCAAGCTCACAGGCATCAGGTGATTTAACGCCCTCTTCTGGATTCCAAGGGCATTACACTCATACACAAAAAATAAAATAAATGAACCTTTTTTTTCCCTTTTTGGACAGCGCCTCCCATGTAGCCCTGCTGTCCTGAGTTGATGTTTAGATTATTATTGGTGCTGATGGAGGTTTAGGGTAGGTTGCTTCTGAGTGTTTTCTGTTTAAGTTTTCGTCATGAGCTTCTTCACGCACATGTTTTCGAGCCGGTGTCGAGGGTTCTGTGACGGATGGATTCCTAGACCTTGAGAGGCTGGACTGAAGTTCTGGGAAGGAAGCTGTTGATTCTGCTGGGTTGACTTTTTGTTCCCCTCACCCCCACGGGTCCAATTGTCTGTCTAACAAAGCCACAGCCTGGGCTGTGTTTTCATTAACGTGTTCTGTCTTGGTTTGCCTCGATATTCAGGACCCACTGGACCCACAAACACCAACTAAAAGTTCAGGGAGATGATGGGTCCATATGGTTTTGGGGTCACAGAAGCAGCTGGTATGGGGAGAAGTTGTGAAGCGTTCCCCCCATTTCTCTTTTTTAAAACAGCCAGGGGCTTGATTCTAGCACCTCACCTATTCACCCTAATAATGCAAAGCCTTCGGGGAAAAGAGAGATTTGGAATGCTTTCCTGCACTTCTGAAGGCATCATCATTTTCCCCGCAAAGCAGTTTGTCTAACGTGTGTGATTTAGAAGCCAGATCGTCCCCAGTGACAGGCCCAGGGTTTCTGAGTCGTAAGCAGTTTTGGGGCCCAAGGCCCTAAAGAAAATGAAGAGAGATTGGCCTTGTGTACAGCAGCAGCCAAGTCAGTTTCAAACACAGAAAGCTGCGAGCCAGCACGTTCGGTTAATTATAACTCAGCACTCAAATACTTGACATGAAGGAAGCCCAGGAAGGGGCGGGGGCAGATGGGGCTTGGCATGGTGATCGAGAGCAAAGGGGAAATGCTGTGCGACCCCCAAGTTTGTGTCCATGCTGGCTTCTTTTTGTAGGCACGTCAGTTCTACTTTATTTTACACGTGTGTATGTGTATGTGCACATGTGCGTGAGCATATGTGTAGTCAGAGGACAAATTGCAGGCGTCAGTTCTCTTTTGCCCCCCGTGTGGATCCCGAACCATCTCCATGATCCTAGATCTACTTTAAACAGCGCTCACAGTGAATGCATGTGGATCCACCTACTACTCTAGAGTGGTTCCCCACGGGACCAAGGGAGCTTGGTATGACTGGCCACCATGAGAGTGGGGATCAGAAGTCAGCCAATACCGTGGAATTGACCACGTTTGCCTTCTATCCAAGAGAAACTGCAGAACTAAGTTTAGGTTAGCAGCAGAGCACCTTGGTGGGCCTAGATCACACCATGCTGCCGAGACCGTACCATGCAACAGATGTCACGTAAGAGGTTTATTTGGGGAAGGGGAGTGGAAAGGCTGTTGCAGAGTGGGGATGAGAGAGAGAGAGAGAGAGAGAGAGAGAGAGAGAGAGAGAGAAACAGACAGACAGACCAGAAGACAGAATGAGCAAGAGAGAGTCATGATGTCAGGAGGGACCTTTTAAAGGGTACACAAGTCACATAAGGGAAATACACAACTCACAGTGACAGTGGGAAGGAATGTGCTGCACCTGGGGGTGGAGGGTAACAATGTGTCTGGTGTCTGACAGGGCTGAGTCCCTGAAGGGCAGGTGGGGGGAGTGCCTTCCTCTTGGTTCCTTTCATCATGAGAACAACATGTGGAGATAATGTGGCTGTAGATTTGGGGTTTCCATGGGAACTTGTACACATGCACACGTGCGCGCGCACACACCCCGCAAAACTAATAGCTACAGATGTTGAAGTCTCTTATGTGGACTAGTGTGGTGTTTGCATATACCTATGAACACGTCTTCTTGTACTTGAACCAATTCTGTGTTGCTTGGGACGCCCACTGCTGTGCCCTCTGCGGTGCCTCTGCGGTGCCTCTGTGGTACCCACTGCAGTGCCCTCTGCAGTGCCCTCTGCGGTGCCTCTGCAGTGTCCTCTGCAGTGCCCTCTGCGGTGCCCTCTGCGGTGCCTCTGCAGTGCCCTCTGCGGTGCCTCTGCAGTGCCCTCTGCAGTGCCCTCTGCGGTGCCTCTGCAGTGCCCTCTGCGGTGCCCACTGCGGTGCCTCTGCGGTACTCACTGCGGTACCTCTGCGGTGCCTCTGCGGTACCCACTGCGGTGCCTCTGCAGTACCCTCTGCGGTGCCTCTGCAGTGCCCTCTGCGGTGCCCACTGCGGTGCCCACTGCGGTGCCTCTGCGGTGCCTCTGCGGTACTCACTGCGGTGCCTCTGCGGTGCCCACTGTGGTGCCTCTGCGGTACCCACTGCGGTGCCTCTGCGGTGCCCTCTGCGGTGCCCACTGCGGTGCCTCTGCGGTACCCACTGCGGTGCCTCTGCGGTGCCCTCTGCGGTGCCCTCTGCGGTGCCTCTGCGGTGCCCTCTGCGGTGCCTCTGCGGTGCCCTCTGCGGTGCCCACTGCGGTGCCTCTGCGGTGCCTCTGCGGTACTCACTGCTGTGCCTCTGCGGTGCCCACTGCGGTGCCTCTGCGGTGCCCTCTGCGGTGCCCTCTGCGGTGCCCTCTGCGGTGCCCTCTGTGGTGCCCTCTGCGGTGCCTCTGCGGTGCCCTCTGTGGTGCCTCTGCAGTGCCCTCTGCGGTACCCTCTGCAGTACCCACTGTGGTGCTGCCTTGGCTGGCATTTGGTGTAGATGTCTGTGTGCCACATACTCAAGTTCTGCATTGGAAACTTTCTAGAATGCTCTTTGTTCTGAATGTCTTTAAAGTTTTTCATTATTATGGTGTGCATGTGAATAGGTGTGTCCTTCATGATTTGGATGCAAAGGCCAGAAGGCGACTTTTAGGAGCGGATTTCTCTCTACTGGGTCATCCAGGGATGGAATTCAGGTTGTCAGGCCTGCACTGCAACAGCTTTACCCACTGAGCCATCCTGCTGGCCTTTCAAATGCTCTTAAACCGTGTTTAGTTGGTTGACTCTGCGGATTTGGAGGGCTACCTGCTTCGGTGTCTGAGGGACATTTCAGTACAGTCTCTTGGTTTTCTGTTTATGGCGTGTATGTGTGTGTGTGTGGCATGCATTTGAGTGTGCAGGTGTGTGAACCCCCAGAGTCCCGAGCAGAACGTCAGATGTCATTTTCTCTCATTGTTCACCATATTGTCTACAGACAGGGTCTCTCATTGAACCACAAGCTTGCCATTTTGGCTAAGTTGCCCGGCCAGTGAGTCCTTGGGATTTACCTGTCTCTGACCTCTGGTGTTGGGATTGCAGGCATGTGTCACCGTGCCTGGCTTCTTATGTGGGTGCTGAGGATTTGAACTCAGATCGTCATGCTTGCGGAGCAAATGTTCTTAATCATTGAGTCGTCTCCCCAAGCCTCGTCTTTCAGCTTTCATTGTGATACGTAACTATGAGATTCTCTAGGGTAAGGTTTTTTTGGTGTTAGGATTTGAACCCAGGACCTCCTGCATGCTGAGTACATGCTCTGCTACTGAGCTGCACCCTTGGCGTTTCTCGCTTTCCTTTGGTTATAACCTCTATTTCCGATGCAGCTCCTCTGTTACTCACGGGGTTCCATTTTTTAGGTCATCACTGCTGTTCTTACAGACGAGTCAACAGAGTCCTTGCTTAGCTAGAGATGCCCGTCTCACAGTGTTGTTAAATGTGTGCGAGATCCTGCACTGCCACCCCTCAGTCCCGCCTTTCCCACATGGATCTAGGCTGGAGCCACTGGACCTGTTAGTCCAGAAAGTCAGAGTCCCAGGCTCATCTGGGTGTGTGGCTGTCAACCCTGAGAGCAGATGTCAGCCCGTTTGGACCTGGGGACTAACCGTGTGCCCTTTCCAGTTCTGCGTAGAGTAAGGCCGGGAAAGCAGTCTTCTGCAGGAATGCAGGGCCAGTTCACAAATCCAGGCAGAGCTCGGCTAGCTAGAACAGAGGTGATCGGGAATCAACGGCCATGCTGGTGGAAAAGTGGGGGTCGTGCTGCTGAGGTCACAGTGTCAGGCCAGGCTGGAGGCCGTCAAGCTTGTTGACCCCAGCACTGCCTGCAGCCCTCAGAGGAAGGAGAAAAGCATCGCATGTGTGTTCCTTTCTTACTTCCCAAGTCTACAGGATTCGAATTATAGCTACCATGGAAACCGTACTTTGGAATTTCTGGAGCCCTTAATTTTAACAGATAAAAGACTTTTGTGCCGATTTTATAATTATTCATGATGGATGAGAAAGTGACTCAACGTCTTTTGACAGGGAAGGAAGACAGAATACATTTTTCTTTCTTTCCTTTTCCCCTCTTTCGCAAAGATGCATGCATTTGAAGTAAGTGTATTTTTCTCCCGGGTGTAAATCTTCCATCTTCCACAGATTCCGACACAATAGCCGAATTACGGGAGCTCCAGCCTTCAGTGAGAGACTTTGAAGTCCGAAGTCTTGTGGGCTGTGGTCACTTTGCTGAGGTGCAGGTGGTTAGAGAGAGGGCAACTGGGGACGTCTATGCCATGAAGATCATGAAGAAGAAGGCTTTGCTGGCCCAGGAGCAGGTAGGAACATTTGAATCTCTGCTCCTTCCTCTGTCTGTACCAAATGTTCACCACAGAGACAATAACCTGCTAATTTGATGTCTAGGATCCAGTAAGATGTTAATTATGGGTACACGGACAAAAAGGCCTCTCATGTTTTTAGCTCTCCTCAAACTGGTGTTGATTAATTTTGCAGGCTCAGAAATTTACCTCTGTTTCTTTGTCAGGACTGTGTAGTTGCATTTTCTTTTAGAACCACATTGGGCTTTAAACTAAGGATCTCAAGATGATCTGTCGGGGCTGCGAGCTTTGGTCTGAGGGACACGCCTCAGGCTGGGGTACTAGGGCGGTGTCTGCATGTGTGCATGGCTAGGTGTTCCTGCTGCGGGCCCACGTGTTCCATCTCAGAGCGGCCTCTGCAGGAGTCAAAACACAGCTGTGTTCCCTGCCTGCGAGCCGCTCGTCTGATAACAGGTCACGAAGTTGTCTTTTTAGTTGTGTTTTTTCTCCCTTTGAGGAAAGGCTGCGCTCGCTCTCAGACATATTGATTCATTGGCTGTGTTTTCGAGAGACAGCCGTCACCTTGGAGTTGAGAGAGTCATTCGTTAGTCGCAGGCAGTCTAGTGCACACTGTGTGTCTGATAATGTCCCCGGCTCCGTGGGAAGCCTGCGGAAGGAATTGAAGTCCCATGACTGTTCCTTGCAGGGCCGAATAGCTGCACCCAGAAGTGGAGGGAAAATGCAAATCTCCGGAGCAGGCACTTGCCAGCTAAAGCACCACAGACGGGGAGAGAATTAGCAGGTTCATTAGCCGTGGTGTGAAGGGCGATGTCATGGGCGAGCCAAGGGCAGTCAGTCAGGAAAGTCCTTCGGATGAGAGGGAATGGAGGCTGTGGGCTGAGGAGTGATGGGAATGCGCCAGGTAGACATGTGGCTGAGGGTGACGGCCTGGAGGTGTGAGTCCTGGAGTCCTGCTCAGGGGTGTGCGTGAGTGCGCACACGCGTGTGTATGTGTGTGCCTGTGTATGCGTGTATGTGTGTGTGTAAGTGTGTGCGTATGTGTGTATATATATATACCCATGTGTATGTGTGCGTGTTTGCGTGCGTGTATGTGTGTGTGAGTGCATGTGTGTATGTGTGTGTGTATATATATATATACCCGTGTGTATGTGTGCATGTGTGTGTGTATGTGTGCGTGTGTGTGTGCGTGTGTATGTGTGTGTGCGCGTGTGTATGTGTGTGTGTGCGCGTATGTGTGTGTATGTGTGTGTGTGTATATATATATACCCATGTGTATGTGTGCATGTGTGTGTGTATGTGTGCGTGTGTGTGTGCCTGTGTATATGTGTGTGTGCGTGTGTGTGCGCGCGTGTGTGTATGTGTGCGCGTGTGTATGTGTGTGTGCGCGTGTGTGTATGTGTGCGTGTGTGTGTGCCTCTGTATATGTGTGTGTGCGTGTGTGTGCGCGTGTGTGTGTGCGTGTGTGTGCGCGTGTGTGTGTGCGTGTGTGTATGTGTGCGCGTGTGTATGTGTGTGTGCGCGCGTGTGTGTATGTGTGCGTGTGTGTGCGCGTGTGTATGTGTGTGCGCGCGTGTGTATGTGTGTGTGCGCGTGTGTATGTGTGTGTGTGCGTGTGTGTGTGCATGTGTGTGTGTATGTGTGCGCGTGTGTATGTGTGTGTGAGCGTGTGTGTTTGCGTGTGTGTGGAGGGGTATTTGGTTTAGAACTAACAAATTAAGACATCTGGGTGGGCAGGGGTCTACAGTTGAGGGGGAATCTCAGCAACTTTAGCTTTTCATCGTGTTAAACTCTACATAAGGTAAAATTTCCCACGTTAACCATTTTTACTGTAGAATTCAGTGGCACTAAGAAGTTCCGCCATGCTACAGCCCACAGTTGCCATCCGTTCCTAGAACTTGGCCACCAGCCCTGTGTTAGACTTCAACCTTGTGACAAAGTACGTGAGAGAACCCAGGTTAGAGGGGGAATGGGCCGTTTTCACTGGAGCATCAGAGATTTCTCCCCAGAGTCAGCTGACTTCATGGCTTTAGGCCTGTGCTGTGGCAGAGGACCATGGTGGACGGCATGTGACCACTGACGCGAGAGAAAGACCGGGGACAAAATGCTCCTTCCCTGGGCATGCCCAGTGACCTCCAGCTAGACCCTACTAGCTGATATTTCATTTGTATTTTAATAAATAAAGCTTGCCTGAAGATCAGAGACTAAGACAGCCCCACTGGTCAGCCTTACAGACCAGGCAGTGGGGGCACACACCTTTAATCTCAGTAGCCATAGAAACCAGGCAGTAGTGGTGCACGCCTTTAATCCCAGCACTAGAGAGGAATATAACACGGGAGGAGACAGCTCTCACACACAGTCTTGTTCTGAGATTCTTGGAGGCAGGATCGCCATTTCAGACTGAGGTAGAAGTAAGAACCAGTGGCTGGCTGCTTTGCTTTTCTGACCTTCAGTTGAACCGCAATATCTGTCTTTGGGTTTTTATTACTCATGCTACACCTATCTCCTAGCATTTCCTACCCTTTTCCAGTAGCCCATTAAGTTTAATACACGAATGGATTAATCCTTTGATGAGGTCACAGAACCCATGAACCAATCCTTTCCCAAGGCCCCCGTCTCTGCGCACTGTTATTAGGAGCCAAGTTTTCAGCACACCAGCTTTTGGGGGACATTTCAGACCCAAATCATCAGAACAGAAACCGAAGATCCCTCTTTTGTTGTTGTTTTTTGTCTCTTGAGACAGAAACTGCAGCAGGGGGTGGGAAGCCGCCTATCGGAGTCCAGGCATGATGTGGCCTCTGTGTTTCAGAATAAACTGTGAGCAACATTGCAGGGAGGGAGAATGACAAGACATTGCCTGTGATTAGCAAGAGGGGAGTGGGAGGTGCTCTCTCAGCTCTCCCACCCAGGGAGGTGCTACCGTCATCCCTACTCACTCGCTGGGCAGCCTTCGTGCTTGGCATGTTTCTAGAGCCTTGGGCAGAGGCACATGATGTTAGCCAACCTTGCGGTGCTCGTGTGTTGGATGGGAAACAGTGCATGGAAGATGAAGCAAATGCAATATGTCACACATAGACAGACAGTCGAGATTCAAACAGATGCACTTTATCCGGGCCAAGGACCCGAAGTGGCCATGGTAAAGAGGTGTGGGACTGGGTTTTTAAAAACCCTATGTATGCAGGAGCTAATAAAACCAGTTGTCATTGGTAAATGTGTCACTGACTTAGAGGGTCAATATAAAAGAAAAGCAGGGTTCCTAATGGAGTCACCATGAGGATTTGGGATTCAAAGGTATGAAGAGAGAAGAGCAGCCTGGGAAGAGGCGAAGGAGGCATCAGGGAGGATGTGGAGAAGTGGTAGATCTCCAACAGAGCCGGTCACCTGGGAGAGGCCAGCGAGCCTGCACTGAGCTGTGTCAGCCAGAAATGCTCCTCAGAGAGCAGTAGCTTTAATGGAGTCTTCAGGGCTTAGGCAGCATCAGCGGTGAGCACGGGGGCTGGGGGCTGAGATCTAGCTTTCCCTGCCCCCTCCCCATGTCAGCAATAGGATTGGCCCTCCAGCACTGTAAAGCACTGGGTTGGGCTGCTATTTAAGTGGCTTAGATTTAGCGCTGAGGTTTCCGGGGTGATCTTAGGAACACAGACAAGCTCTTTAAGGACATTTCAGGGTGAGAGATGCAGTTCCTGGGTAGAATGCTTGCTTAGCATGCGTGAAGTCCGGGTTCAGGGGAGCACTGCATAAATGGGTGTGGTGGCAGAGGAGGACTTGGGTGTCGTTCCCTGTCATTTCCCTCTGTATCCCCTCCAGACAGGGTCTCTCACTGAACCTGGAGCTAGGCCATCAGTCAGTAAGCTCCAGTGAGCCTCGAGTCTCTCTCCTACAGTATCAGGATTGTAGGAGAACCTGCCTGTGCCCAGCTTTTTCTTTTTTATCTACTTGTTTATCTGATATGTGTGCTAAGATTCCAACTCAGGTTCTCATGCTTGGGTAGCTAGCATGCTAACCACCGAACTGTCTCTCCAGCCTACAATAGTCTTGAAGCACCTGCCTTCCCCCCATTTAGGGAAACTGCAATTTTGTTCTTTTTTTAATTTTTAATTTTTTTCTCTTTTTGGTTTTCCAAGACAGGGTTTCCCTGTGTAGCTTTGGAGCCTGTCCTGGCACCAGCTCTGTAGACCAGGCTGGCCTCGAACTCACAGAGATGAGCTTGCCTCTGCCTCCTGAGTGCTGGGATTAAGGGTGTGCGCCACCACAACCTGACAATTTTTAATTTTTTAAAAAAGATTTATTTGTTTATATTTTTGTTAAAGGTATTTTGTCTGCATATACATTTGTACACCAGAAGAGGTTCCTGGATCCCATGGGACTGCAGTAAGCCGCCACATGGGTGCTGGGAATTGAACTCAGGACCTCTGGAAGAACAGCCAATGCTCTTAACTGCTGTGCCATCTCTTCAGTCTCCTGTTCTTTTTTTTTTTTTTTAAATTCCCACTTATTTTATTTGTTTTGGCAGTTTTGAGGACTGACCTTGGGGTCTGGAGCATGCTAGGCAGGCAAGTGCTCAACCACTGAGTTACCCCCCAGCCCTTCAGTTTTGCTCTTGAGGCCTTTCAGCTGATTGGATGAAGCCCACTGAGACTCCTGAGGGTAGTCTCCTAAGCTACTGAGTTCAGATGTCAATCAGCTATAGCCACACAACACCTCTGTAGCAACACCACAAAACCTGGGTTAGTGTTTGATTGAGTAACTGGTGTTTTGGCCTTTCTTGGTTTCTGCATAAAATTATTTATCAGAAAATCATACCGCCCCATCTCCCTGCCCACCAAATGACTCAAAATTACATCTGTGTATTTGTATATATGGCCTATGACAGGAATATTTTTCCCACGATCCACCACGCAACCAGAAAATTAGCTAGTGCATTCCTCTGGCCCCACTCACGTTTACCAGTCGTCCAGTGACATCGTTAGGATGGGACCTGGCCACTTAGGCCTTCTCTTTCTTTTACCTGAGTCGGTTCCTTCATTGTTCCCCCTGAGTCTTTATGACCTCGATGGTTCCAATGACAGCTGGCCAGTTAGTCCATAAAATTCAGATTTAGCTGCTTTGCTTGTGTTTAACGTCCAGGTTGTAGATTTGGAGTATATATTTCATGAAGAAGGGGCTCTTTTCCTGTTCCCTGCAGCAGATGGTTCAGTTCCAACTGGCCACTTTCTGGATGCGCTCACACAGCTTGTGGGATGGAGGTGGTGCCTGCCGCTCTTCGTTGCGGAGTTTCCTCTTGGTACTCATGCATTTTACAGAGACAGAACTCTCTCAAAGGACAGAACTGTTCCATTCCTTATGCAACCCTCAGTATATTGGTTGGTTTGTACTTTGTGAACTATTGGCCTTTCCTTGTCTTAGCCAATGAGTGTAATCTACCATACCCAGAGTATCTTCAAGGCGGCTCTTCAGATTGACTTTTGTCTCCTTTTGGCAGGTCCCTGCCATTCTTGGTTCATTTCTGGTTCTCTAGTGAGAGATGTTCAAGTTTGCCCCGCAGTTACTTTCCCTGCATTGACGTGTCTCCAGGGATCCCTGTTCAGCAGGAACGATCCTTGGAGGCTAGACCTTGGCGCTGAGAGACGGCTCAGCAGCAGAAAGCACATTGCTCTTGCAGAGACCTGGCTTTGGTTCTCTGTACTCCAATTGGGCAGCTCACAAACACCTGTAAGGTCCAGCTCCATGGGAGCCTCCTGCAGGCACCTGCACACACATGTCACAAGCACACATAGACACACATACACATATATAAATAAAAATAAAAAAAATTAGAGGCCAAGATATTTATTACTATTATTATTTTTGAGACAGTGTTTTGTGTGTGTGTGTGTCGTTTGGCTGTACAGGAACTCGCTCTGTGGAGCAGGCTGGCCTCGAACTCAGATCTGCCTGCCTCTGCCTCCTGAGTACTGGGGTTAGACATGAGCCACCACCGCCTAGCTAGAGGCCAAGACGCTAACTCTGGGTTTTGAGCTTCTATTGGGCTGTCATTGCTCTTAGATCTCTTTCATGAATTGGGCAAGGAATACATGTTTATGTGTACAGTATGTTCCCACACGAACACTCAAGAACACATAAACATGCAGACACACGCACAGGTGTACACGTGTTTACTCCCACGTGTGTTAATATGGAAAATCATGTTCACACAGTTACCTCTGACTCCAGTCCACCTTTACGTCTCTCCCAAGTCTTTCTCTTCCCTGTGCTTGTGCCTGGTGAGTCAGCTTCCTGTTCCTGTCTCACGCATGTGAGATAACAGCACATAAAGAGACAATATTTATTTTGGCTCATAATTTGAAAGTTTCAATGTAGGGCTGTGTGGCTACATTGTCTAAAAAAAAAAAAGACAGTTTCCTATTGTGTAATCCCAGCTGGCCTGAAGCCTCTCTAGCTCTACCTGCCTTTGTCTTCCCCATGCTAGGGTTAAAGGTTGCACCACCGCATCCAGCCTCACTGCTTTGGGCCTGTGGCGAGCAGTCAGAACTGGTGAGAGTCCATGGGAAACTTCAGAATAGAGAAAGATGAACGTTGGGCTCCATGATCCCTTTCAGGGGTAAGCCCCATCCCCCCAGTGACTGAAAGACGTTCTTATCACGCCATGGACTGAGGAACAAGCCTTTAACCACGGGCCTTTGTGGGGTGGGGCACTTATCCAAACCATAGTAATTCTTTTCTCTGACTTCTGCCTAAGCTGGGCGATGGTGGCACACGCCTTTAATCCCAGCACTCGGGAGGCAGAGGCAGGCGGATCTCTGTGACTTCGAGACCAGCCTGGTCTACGAGAGCTAGTTCCAGGACAGGCTCCAAAGCCACAGAGAAACCCTGTCTCGAAAAATCCAAAAAAAAAAAAAATGTTTTTAGGTTTATTTATTTTTTGTGTATTTATTTTTTGTTCTGCTCGCATGTTTGTATATGTGTGCACCATGGGTATGTCTTCAGAGTCTAGAAGAGGCTGTTGGATTCCCTGGGAGTTGAACCCAGGTCGTCTGCAAGAGCAGCAAGTTGTCTTAGCTGCCGAGCCGTCTCTCTAGCCTCTCACTGTTTTCTTACACTGACACAGTCCTTTCCATCTTTTTGGCTATAGCCTTGTCTCCTTACCTGCTCTACGCCATCCACCCCCATGTGCAGATACCTTTCTCCTCCTGCACGATCCTCCAGTAGTCCATACTGGCCTGTGGTTACCCTGTTTGCCACTGTCCTCACTCTGCTTGGGCCTGGGCCTGGTGGCTCTCTGACCCTCCAGCCTGGCTTGGCTTGACAGCTCCTAGTAGAACCATCCAGGAAGCGAAGGTGGGGAGGAAGAGAAAGATGTTTAAGTTTGGAAGAAGTGAATTGATGCCACATGCATGGCTGGATGGATAACGTGGGCCTGGCAAAGCTGAACCTCACGGGTTCCCAGATTTGCTGAGTGTTATGCTATGTTTTTTTTTTTTTAAACCTAGAAACATCAATTTAGACTGTAAGGCAGGACAGAGGCCGTCCCCCTGCACAGTTAGTTCTCTTACAATTATCTAAAGAGTTTCTTTTCCCTCCAGGTTTCATTTTTCGAGGAAGAGCGGAACATATTATCACGGAGCACGAGCCCTTGGATCCCCCAATTACAGTATGCCTTTCAGGACAAAAATAACCTTTACCTGGTGAGTCTTCACATCTGTCCCCATGGGACGAGCCGAGGCCCTGATACTCAGATGCCGTGGGTTGAAAGCGCTTCTTGTCGATGTGGTCTGTGACACCGCTCACTCATTCAGTCGATTTTCTGACTGGACGTCTCCCGTTCCTCGTTCCAAAGATTAAGAGCTGACCCACTTAGAAACAGCCTGTTATACCGCGGCTACGAAGGGCAGCAGTGAAAAGTTATTTAATTGGGAATGGTCTCTAACTGCCTTTAATGGAATCTTGCTTTAATTAAATTAAGTCAATTAATTTAGTTTTTGAGACAATATCTCATTATGTAGATCTGACTGGCCTGGAATTTGCTGCACAGACCAGGCTGGCCTGGAATTCGCAGGGAATCAGTCACTCCTGCCTCCCCAGTGCTGAGATTAAAGGCCTCTGCCACCATGCTCATTTCTCACTTTAATTTTTAAAAGCTAAGGTAATAATGCATGGTTAATATAAGAAAAGGCAGCCTGTTCCCTTCTCGTGTATGTGTGGAAGCCGGCTGAGTTTATCTCAAAGAAGCAGAGAATAGGCTAGTGGTTGCCAGGTAACTGGGGTGAGGAGAAGCAGAGGAGGGCTGGCTAACGGGTAGACCAGTTAGACTGCTGTGAGTAGCTAGGTGTAAGGGATAAGCTTTGGTGTCCTGTATGGGTGGAGGGCAACTGTCTCTCATAACTATTCCACCCAGAAAAGAGGTTGAATGGTCCCAAGACAAAGCAGATGGAAGGTGTTGGAATTTGTTGATTGTTTTGATTTGCTCATTGCACATTGTATGTATTTATTGAAATATACTGTACCCCATGGTTAAGCACAGTTGTTAAGTATAAATTAAAATGTACACCAGTAATCCCCAACCCCATCCTAAAAATACATATACTGGGCCAGTGTGATGGCTCAGCAGGTTGGGTTGCTTGCTGCCAAGGCTAAAGACCTGAGTTTGGTTTCTGGGGCGCCTACAAGATGGAGAGAGAGAAGTAACTCTTGCAAGCTGTGCCCTCTGCTACACACACACACACACACACACACACACACACACACATACACACACTCACACACACACTCACAACACTCTCTCACACACACTCACACACACACAATACTCTCTCTCTCACACACACACACACTCACAACACTCTCTCACACACACACACTCTTACACACACACACTCACACACACACAATACTCTCTCTCTCATACACACACACACACACACACAGTCTCTCTCACACACACACAGTCTCTCTCTCACACACACACACACACACACAGTCTCTCTCTCTCACACACACACACACAGTCTCTCACACACACACGTGTGGTGCTTGTGTCCACTCAGGTACACACACATAAGCACAGACATACACAGATAAAAAAATGTAATTTAAAAAGTTTAAAATTAAAAATGTGTACGCGGAAGAAGTATTAAGTAGAACCTTGGTCTTTTGCTTTCTTATCTCTCTGTAGGGAGTAGATGCTAATGGAGATATGTGTCCTTTATGACCTCAACTATGTTTTACTGTGGAAAAATTGAATGCATAGATGTATATACAAATGAAAGGTTTTTTTGTTATGTCTTGTCTTTTCTCTAGTAGAGCCAACACTCAGGGGGCAGAGGCAGGTGGCTCTCTGTGAGTTCCCAGCGAGTCAGTGCCACACAGACTTCTTTAATGCTACTACGTAGTGCTAGCCTTTATTCTTTTTGGTTTCGGGGATTGAACCGGCCTTGAGCACGCCAAGCACAGGCTTTTCCACTGAGCCACAACCCTGACCTCCAGTTCAGCATTTGGATGGTGGCATAGTTTTCTCTGATGTCTGTTTTGGGGCCCGGTTTAGGTTCTTAGAGGATTAAGTTCTTAAATGTAGAACGTGTATTCTAGAAACAACCTTTGTTCCTGGAACAGCTCCTGATGCGGGACTCTCATGTCACCTTGGGTGGGGATAAGGAGGCCTGTGGAAGGGAGCAGGGAGCTGTTTTTTGTCTTGAATTCCCACAGGGCATTTTTTTTTTCTCTTTTTTCACTGCGTTTGTTTCTGATGGGGAAGAATCAGTCTATTTGCTTGGTTTCCTATGATTGAAGTTCCTCCCTGGCTCCGCCCTGCTCTCTTGGTTTTGCTGGCTTGGCATAAGGTCTGGTTATACACCCAGGTTGGCATACAACTCAAGGGCCCTGTTGCCCTAGCCTTCCCTGTAGAGAGGGCTCCGCTGAGCTTTCTTGTGTGCCTGTGGTGTATGTACGTGTTCATGTGGGTGTGTGCACGTACGCCAGAGGCCAGGGTTGCGTGTCTGCCTCAGTCACTTCCCACTTCATGTATTTTTCAAATAGCATCTCACTATATGGTCCTCACTGGCCTGGAGCTCTCTGTGTAGACCAGGCTGGCCTTAAATTTGTAGAGATCCATTTGCTCCTGCCTCCCGAGGGCTGTGTACCACCTAGTTCTACTCTTGTTTTAAGACAGGGTCTCTCGCTGGATCTGGGCTTCAAGGATTCTTTCTTCTCCCTGGTGCTAGAGTTAAGCTGTACATGGCTTTCCCCATGAGTTTTGGGAATCTGAATTCAGGTCTTCATGTTTGCACAGCAAGCTCTTTCCTGATAGCCATCTTCCTATCCCCTCCTTAAAAAAGAGCTCTGTGTATGTGCGCACGCTTGTGCGCATGTGCATTCTGTGCGCATGCCTGTGGAGGTCAGTGAACAATCTTAGGTTTTATCCACCTCCTTTAGGATAGAATCTCTCATTGACCGGAAGCTCACTAATTAGATTAGGCTAGCTGAACATCAAACCCTGTCTGCCTCCCTAGCTGTGGGATTGCAGGCATGTGCTGCTGTGCCAGCATCCGGCATCCTTTTGTGGGTTCTGGGGATCATGCTCAGGTCTTTACACTTGCAAGGCAAGTGTTTCTCACCAACTGAGACGTATCCTTAACCCTTATCAGCATCTAAGATTGTATCCCAGAATACCAAGGTTTAACGATACACCAACTGAGCCATGTTCCTAACCCTTACCCACATCTGAGGTTGTGTCCCAGACTACTGAGGTTATATGATATAAAGCATATGAGTTACTTTATCTTTCCAAAGTCAGAAAGTTTCTAAATCCAGAAATGCATTCTACAGTAACATAAAGGGCTTCCTCACTAAAATAATCCCACTGTGTCAACTGAACACTTCTAGAAGTTTAGGGAACAACATTTTATGGCTTGCTCCTTCTGAAGTTGAACACTAACTTGTAATCCTATGGCAGAATAATTGCAGGTGTGGTTTAATTAGTAAAAAACAAAGCAAGATTCTGCCTCTTGTCCTTGGCTTGGCCATCTCTTCTCTCGGTCCTCACCTTGGTTTTCACTTGCGCTTTTCTGTGTTAACCTCCCTGGCATTCATCGTGTCTTCCCCCAGGTCTTCCACATTGTGCTACAACAATGTCATCCTGCTGTCAGAACCCCATCTCTCCTCCTGATGCCCTCTGGGTAGATTCAGGCTAGCCACATGATTGTTTACCAGGCCTTAAGCCCGTCCCTCCAAGTATCTCCTTCATTTTAACTTCATCACAGGACTAACCCTAACTCCCAACCCCAACCCTCTAACCTCTAACCTCTAACCTCTAACCCTATTCCTTCCTCTTCACCTTGCTTCTCATCTCCCTGCTCCTTCTTTTTCTATTGGTCTGACCATCCTCTATTTCTCTCTCTGGGCTGGGATCAGATGTTCTTTCCCGAATCTCCTTCTGGGCCTTCTGCCCCTAGGATGGGGGATCATCTGTTATGCAGCCTGTGCCCCCATACCCATGAGTCAGGTGAGTCTCTTGCACTAGTCTCCTTCCTAATGGGTGCAATTATGTTTTGATGCTCCTGATAGATGTTTACTAAGTAAATGCCTAAGGTATATTCACTGGATGAATGATTGATTCCACAGAATTCAGATTTACGTACAGATTTACCCAAATCATTTTATGTTAGCAGTTGGAGTTTAGAATAAAGTATGCAATTCAAGATAAGCCTACGTGAGTCCCCACCCCCCCAGATTTGGCGTACTGTGAGAGGAAGTTGAATTTGAGATGTCTTGAATTTTGATGCTTAAAACATTCTTATTTAAAGTGACACTGATTTCTACAAAATTGTTTCACAATTCACCATTTGCTGTATAGTGTCTGGATTTTTTTTGTGAACCTTTCATGCTGAGGGGCTTCTTCAGGCTGTCCTGGCTCTCAGATTGAACTCAAAGCTATGAACCTCTTTTCTGTTTTGTTTACATTTTCATCTCTCTATTCACCCCAAATGATTTTTCCCCCAGTTACATATTGAGAGATATTAGTTGTGGTAATAAAGGGAGCCCAACAGTTCGTGCTGGTGGGACTTACTTGGTTGTATGTCTTAGTTTAGAGCCCAGGTTCCTTCTATATTGTGGCTCTTCCACCTCTTAGGAGGCTGTCTTTCATGGGATTGCTGTTGATATATTTGTTCCATCTGGGTAGTAAGAGAAGAGAGAAATTTAGAGAAGGAAAGTTTCCTCCACACAGAATTATGTGTGAAATTATTTTCTCTCGTGCTCTCTTAGCCAGAATTTAGACTGAATATCCCCGCTGCTCAGCAGGGACAACATGGACACATGCTGTCTAGCTGCTAAAATCTTTACTGACGATTTTTCATTTCTGTAACCAGATTAATGTGGGAAACTTTTTAAAGAGAAAGAATTTATTACAGCCCACAGTTTTAGGTTCTCAGTCCATCATGGCAGGGAGGGTGTCGAGAAGGACAGCTTTTTTTTTTGTTTGTTTGTTTGTTTGTTTTTCGAGACAGGGTTTTTCTGTGGTTTTGGTCCTGGAACTTGCTCTTGTAGACCAGGCTGGTCTCGAAGTCACAGAGATCTGCCTGCCTCTGCCTCCCAAGTGCTGGGATTAAAGGCATGCGCCACCACTGCCCTGCTAAGGGCAGCTTATTATGGCTGCCAGGAAGCAGTGAGAGAGGGAGAGAACACCTGTGCC